ACATCGACAACGAACGCATCATGGTGCGCGCCACCATGCCGCTCAGCGAGGTGGTCGTCGACTTCTACGACGAGCTCAAGTCGCTGACGTCCGGCTACGCTAGCTTCGATTATGAGGATGCTGGCTATGAGACGACGAATCTGTCGAAGGTGGGTGGTTGTAGCAGAGCAACTTGTGCTGCAGCTGTGCAGGTGCTTTTTGACAGCAATAGTTATGTGATAAACCGGTGTTTTTGTTGGGTTCTTCTTTTATGATAGCGCTCCGTTTTAAGCGGACCATCACCACGCCCTTTTCTTGAGTCTAGATAACCGCTTGTGTGCGTTTTTTGGCTTAGCATTGTTTCCTTTTTCAGTGACTAATTCCGTACGTTTTACGTAACTGCTTTGTTCCCACTGACCCTTGTGTCCATTTTCAGCTGGTCATCCTACTGAACGGCGAGCCGGTGGAGGAACTGAGCCTCATCGTCCACACCAGCCGCGCTCGCTCCATCGGCCGGGCGGTGTGTGCCCGACTGGCAGAGTCCATCCCGCGACAAATGTTCAGCGTGGCCATCCAGGCGGCCGTCGGAGGGAAGATCCTCGCCAGGGCAGATGTCAAGGCACTCAAAAAGGACGTGCTAGCCAAATGTGTGAGTGAGGGTTGAAGAAAGAAGTAGCCGTTGTCGTTACTCTGAGATGTAGTGAACGATTAAAAACACAATACAACAGGATTGGCTAGTGGCTATAGCTTTAGCGTGGCATTACGAAGATCGTTAATCGCAACCATTGAAATGCTTCACTTCATGCTAAGTTATTGAGGTGTATCAGGTTAGTGTTGTCTGCGATTGCTTTTCCTTTTCAGATCCTCCTTAATCAATTTCATGTCATTGGGGATGCTTTCCGAATCGTTACGGAATGTGCTCATTTTCCTTGCGAAAGAAACCTACAAAGTAGACGGCATTCTCACTCACTGACGCATCTGCCTCCCTCCCCAGTACGGCGGCGACATCAGCAGAAAGATGAAGCTGCTGAAGCGACAGGCGGAGGGCAAGCGACGCATGAAACGGATAGCCAACATCGACATCCCCCGGGAGACGTTTGTCAAGGTTCTGAAGCGGTGACGACCGTCAGGTGCGTCTCTAACGAGAGGGAAGGGTGAGGGAAGGGTGCTGGGGGTGTCCCGCCGTGTCAGTGGGTTGGGACAAGCGGGTGGGGTGAATGAACGATGTTGCGTGTTATCGGTGGATGACGAGATGATTTTATAGTGTTGTGATACGAGCGGGACTCTTGAAGTGAAGTGTCTGTTTCGTCGTGGATTGCTCAGGACGTTGCAAGCATCTCGCCTATGTCGTTGGTACTAGATCGTTTCGATTTGTTTAGTCGATTGACGGTCAATGGTCATAATTGACATACTGTGCTGATTTGTGTAATATTATCATGTGATGACATATCGATGCCTTTGCGCTAATAAGGAACTGAGATCCGGTGCTGCCGGGCCTACCTGGAATATTCTCATTTTATATGTATCTTCCTCGGACTGAGCAGTCACAGGGAGTTGTAAGTTTGTAACTCAGGAACGGACTTTAACCTGGCCCGTAATCACATGGTAGCTCGCGCGATTATTTGTCAGCCCAGGACTAATGAGCTCATCCTTTCTTTGCATTACCGCCATTTATTTTGGAAGGTGAATTTTCTTACTCACATATGTAATGCAGGTCAATTCATACAGGAGGCCCTGAATGAAGGCCTACTGGCGATGACGATGTCATTCACTGGCGGATCCAGGGGGGGGGGGCATTTAGGGCCATGCCCCCCCCCCAAAGGCCTAAAGTGGCCTGTTTGGCCCCCCCCCCCCCCCAAACGTCAGAAAAATTGCTAAGAAAATATACCTTGATGGAGGTTTTTAGCCACTTGTTGAAGTAAAGCTTTCCACAGCGTAATATGGAGGCAATATGGTAGCAGTGAGGGTCAGTCAAAAGTTGCGCGAGCGGAGTCGCCACTTTCAAAAAAAGACTGTGGTTGGCACGTGTTTATGGCGCGGCAGCTGGTAGTTGGCGGTGTTTCGCGTGGTGTGGCATCACTGGCGGATCCAGCGGGGGGGGGGGGCACGGGAGCCTGAGGTGCCCCTGACAGCAGGCCCGTGGTGCCCTTGCTGGGCCTGTGGTGCCCCTAGACCCTGGCAGACCTGTGGTGCCTCTGGCGGGCCTAGGGTGCCCCTGCTAGGCTGCTGATGCCCCTGGGACCTGACAGGACTGTGGTGCCCCTGACAAGCCTAAAGTGCCCCCAACAGACCCGTGATGCCCCCGACAGGCCCAAGGTGCCCCTGCGTGATGCCGTGATGCCTGCGAGGCCGGTGGGGCCCCTGACAGGCCCATGGTGCCCCTGCGAGGCCGGTGGTGCCCCTGGCAGGCCTGTGATGCCCCTGCTAGGCCGCTGGTGCCCCTGGGCCCCGACAGGACTATGGTGCCCCTGACAGGCCCAAGGTGCCCCTGCAAGGCCGGTGGTGCCCCTGTAAGGCCTATGGTACCCCTGCTAGGGCCTCTGGTGCCCCTGACAGACCCATGGTGCCCCTGCGAGGCCGGTGGTGCCGCTGGCAGGTCTCTGGTGTCCCTGACAGACCTGGGGTGCCCCTGACAAGCCTGTGGGGCCCCTCACAGGCCCGTGGTACCCTTGCTAGGCCTGTGGTGTCCCTGGCGGGCTGGTGGTGCCCGGTGCCCCTGCTAGGTCGGTGGTGCCCCTGACAGGCCTGTGGTGCCCCCGGGCACCAAGGGGGGTCATGACCCATGTGGCCCCCCTTGGATCTGCCACTGATACGTTATGGCTTATGCAATGTGCGATTGCAGGCACTTGGTATCCCTCACTTATCCCTCATTGGGGGCTCTGGCGGGCTCCTGAGGGCCCACGTCTATCTCAGGGAGCCCTAGACGGGCTCCTTTGGGTCCTTTCAGTCCACTATAGCATAAGAGGTCTCCACGCGAGTCCTATACATCTGAGGGCGTACCCTGACGTCTGAGGTACCCAACTGCAGCTCCAATGGTCTCTTACATTGGCGGATCCAGGGAGGGACATGCCCCCTTCCCAGAGGCCTAAAGTGGCCCGTTTGCCCCCTCCCCCAAACGATAATGAAACATAGTTCAATCAGTGCGTGGCCCAGGAGGCGAGTTGGACAGGGGGTGTTTTACCACCTCCCGGCCCGCAAAGGGACACAAGCACTGACTCGAAGCGGGTTAACTGGTCGACAAAAGCAATGGTAAGTGTTTACAAAGTAATATAAAGGCATGGGTCGGGTGGGCTACCATTTATATTTTTTCTTTTTAATTAGAAAAAAAATATTCATAGTATCAGGGCTGTGACGAAAAATAAGTGGCCTAAATCCGATGAGAAAACAGAATTTGGGGGTACCCTAGGTTTGGCTCCTGCATGAGTTGCCCCCCCCCCAAAACGTAAGCCTGGATCCGCCAGTGATGTCATTCAAATTGCTATGGATTCCAGTCGCATCCCGTCTTTTTACGGTGGTCGTTAGCCAGGAATAACCCGCGAGTTGCTGGGGGGGGGGGGCGTTAAACGCCCCCACTTTTTTCGCCGAGCCATAGCATAAAAACGGCGCGCCGCAGGCGCGCCAAATTTTGGGTACCTGTAGGGAATTGATTGAAGTGTATTGTGACAAAGTTTCAAAAAAAATCGGTCGGAAAACTTTTGAGATATCGAGGTTTTAGTGACGTCATTGTTTCTGAGTTTTCGACCAAAAACGGCATATGTTCAAAAAATCATATAAAATCACAGAATAGACATACAGACATGCCGTAAACGCCATTAGACTGCAAATACTATAAGCAATCAAATGGCTGTCTTCGATTATTGATTATCGTTCCGCATTTTCCAAAATCTTGAACTTAATCTTGGCAATTTCTCGTGACTACTTCACGACCATGATACATGCATTTCTTAAATTGAACTTTTTGAGCCAAACACGTACACATATGATAAAAATGAATGTCACCATCGTGTTCTACGCCCCAAATTACCCATAAAACATGTGTCACAGGCTGCGAATATCAGTTTTGATTTTCGGGGATATGTGCCTACCCGGTTGACCTGACCTTGACCCTGACCTATGCTGACAGACCCCTACATGGAGCTGACACTCTTGTAGGCCCTATATGATGGATTGTGCACCGTTTTGACAGAGTTTTTGACGAGAGGCACCCATTGCGAAGTCCTGAAGTCCATGCTACTGAAAGCCCGATTTCAGGTGTTTGACCTGACCTTGACCCGACCTGTGACCTCAAAATTGAACTTTAAAGTACCCATCTGAAGCGTCTCGTCGCGCTCTTTCGTTTGCCGCCTCGTACGTTTCGCTGTGCCTATTGGTTCTCGAGTTATCGGCTGGGGGGTTTAACGCCCCCCCCCCCCCCGAGCAAACGGTGTGTGGCGAAATACCCACTAGCAACTGCCGGGATAATAGGGAAGCCTTCTCATTGGAGTAGGTTCCCTAAGGGGGTCTTGAGGCCACCCTCTGTGACCCTTCTAGGGACGAGCTGATCCAAGGTGGTGCACTACTTGGTGGTCACTTCAGCATATTTCCCCCTACGCCTCCACAGCTTTTATCCCGTGGTCCTGCGATTATATCTGAAGGGACTAATTCAACTACAACATAACAGCAACACTAACACTAAAAAAGCATGGCTGATGTACGATATTCGTCTGTCATTTGGTTGCTAATTCATAAATTCATATGATTCTTCGAAACTAATCAGCACCCTTGTGCAAGGTGCTTCCCTGCAGTGGAATATTTGACAAATTCGTCATGAATCATCTAAGCAGTTTCTGGTGATGTTTTCTAACTTCCTAGTTCCTGGTGTAGCTGTTGGCCTGAAATCATTAGCTTCTTTCCGACAATAAATGTCGCAGACACTAGGGAAGCTGCTTATATTGTTTTTGAATTAGTTCTAATTCTCGAAGGCATTTCTAGGCTGTGCTGATGACTAGTAGCAGTACATGTTACGGCAGGCAAAAGATTCGTTTGATAGGATTTATCTATTGTCGCCTCTTTGATGTACGTAATAACTGAAAAATACACATAAATAACAATCAGTCCATAAAAACGATAATTGATACAAATATGACGCTCATTCATATAAAGCATAGATTATCACAGCCAAAATTATGAGAAATAAAGCAAATAAATGGTTAAATCAGTAACGTAACAAGTCAGTAACATATTGGCAAATCATTTGGATAATAACATAATCATAAATATCATCTATTCTGTCACCTACTCTCTCCTTCCTTTGGCATAGCCCACGTGTCAGATATCTCAGCGCCGAATCACTGGCCACGATGCGCAGTGCGCCACGCAAACAAATCAAGGGCCGCGTTCGCCGCGCTATTCCTGGGGAAACCCGCAAGCAAATTGTAATGCGGGAACATGGCTCCCCCAAATTTGAACAAAATTTGCACTTCCTCTAAATCTCGACGCGAGATCACATCGTAACACCGTAACACCCAACACATCGTCACGCTCCTCTGGCGAGTTCAGTTTTGCACGCGCACTCACTGATCGCTCACTGATCATCCCACTCACTGATCAATATAGTCCGTAGCAGATCACTGAGCACTTTGTGCTTCGATTGGTCGACCTGACCAATCCACATCAGGCTTCCTCGACGGGGAATCACGTACAGTCCCTCCGCAGGAGAAGCACAAGGCGGTGCACCGGCCTCTCGTACTCGGAGCCGCCCAGGAGCACGCGAACCTTCCGCACAAGGTGATCGCCGCTCGGGTGCGTAGCGACAACACGCGCCAACGGCCACTCCGAGCGCGGGCGCTCGTCGTCCACGACGAGAACGATGTCGTCGACCTCGATGTTCTGCACAACCCTCGTCCATTTGCGTCTCTCTTGTGCAGCGTAGACGATCTCCCTCCTCCAGCGGGCCCAGAAGTCGTTCGCCAGGTGTTGGATGCGCCTCCACCGCTGGCGGGCGTACAGGTCCGGCGAAGAGAACCTACCAGGAAAGGGAAGAACTATTCTACTTTTCTGTGTAAGGAGGAGGCTGGGGCTGAGAGGTTCGAGTTTGTTAGTGTCAGACATATCAACTACAGAGATGGGACGGCTATTGACTATGTCCTCTACCTCACACATCATGGTCCGAAGCAGCTCGTCGTCCAGCTGCTGTCCGTTGGTGACCAGAAGGCTGGTCAGTGCTGATCTGGCACAGCGGATCATTCTCTCCCATATCCCGCCCATATGACTGGCATGAGGGGGATTGAATGAGAACTCGATCCAATCACACTGGTCCTTCAGCAAAGCTTCTGTGACCTCTGATTTCATCTCCTTCAGTGCAGCTTTCAAAGCACTCTGTCCACCGACAAAGTTGCTGCCGTTGTCGCAGTATAGTCGCTGTACAGGTCCCCTTCTACAAACAAATCTCCTGTACGCATTGAGAAATGAGTCGGTTGACATAGAGTTGAGCGTCTCCAGATGCACCGCTCTAGAACTCAGGCAGGTGAAGATAAGTCCCCACCGTTTCACCTCACTTCGACGCTCCTTCACAAAGGAGGGGCCGAAACAGTCCACACCACAAAACGTGAAGGGAGCGGACGGCTCCAGCCGTTCGGACGGGAGATCAGCCATCTTTTGTCCACAGGCTGAGCCACGCAGTCTTCTGCAGAGCACGCAGCGCAGAACGTAGCTCGAGACCGCTGATCGTCCGTGTATGACCCAGTAGCCTTGCTGTCTGATCTCACCCAGCGTCATTTCTCTTCCAGAGTGACCTGTCTTCTCATGACACTGACGAATGATGAGAGTCGTCACATGACTGCTCTTGGGTAAGATCACCGGGTTTGTGACCTCTTGAGGCAGGCTGGCCCGCCTGATCCTACCTCCGACACAGAGGAGGCCATTGTGTCTCATAACCGGGTCCAGTTTTCTCAGTGAGCTGTTCCTCTTCTGTTCTTTCAGCTGACAGCTGGACAAATCATCTTCCGTGTTGTCCTTCGACTTCTCGAGTGTTTCACTTCCATCGTGACACTGCTCTCGGACAAAAACCATCTCGTTCTTGAATGTCTCTTTCTGCAGCGACCTCAAGATGATTACTTCAGCCTCCTTGAGGTCTTGTACTTGCAGTTCATCCTGCGTCCGAGTTCCTTCACTGTTATCAGCACGACGCTTCTTGCTCGCTTCTTGCAGCTTCCTCATGTACCGCAAGCAGTTTGCCACTGCTTTCTTCGCGGTGAACCACGAGGAAAATCGCTCCAGTCGTTCCAGCAGAGTAGGATACACTGCTGCGGATGTGCTGCTCTTGGTCATTAGTGCAGCTGCTTTCTTCACCTCTGGGTCTCGCTCATCTACCACTTCTTCGTTGTCCACCAGCGGTAGATCTGTTGAGAGGGAGAGGAATGCTGGTCCATGCCACCAGAGATGATTGTCAACAAGTTCTCGCACACAACTGCCGCGAGAAGTCACATCAGCAGGGTTATCAGCTGAAGAGATGAAGTGCCACTGATCGGGGGTCGTGTGGTTGTTGATCAGCTGCACACGGTTAGCAACATATACGTGAAACCTACGAGAACTGTTCCGTATATATCCCAGTACAACTCGGCTATCGCACCAGTAGTGTTGTTCCAACGCAGGGATGCTCAGTTCGTGTCCCAGGAACTCACCGAGCTCAGCAGCCAGCACTGCCGCCGCGAGCTCCAGGCGAGGGACAGTGATGACTTTCTTCGGCGTCACTCTCGACTTGGCCATCACCAGGTCGCAGGTTACCTCATCGTCTCGGATAGCTCGTAGGTAGCTGCATGCACCATATCCACACATGGAGGCGTCGGAAAAGTGATGCAACTCGTATCTGGTCGTGCCGCTGCTCGGTCGCATGTTGGCTCCATACTGCCTCGGGAGCCTCAGAGCCGAGAGGTTCAGCAGCTCCTTCCTCCAGGTAAGCCATTCAAGGCCCAGCTCCTCGGGAACTGGGTCGTCCCATGTGCAGTCTTGGCCACACAGCTCCTTGATGATCATCTTTCCACGAAGCGTGATCGGCGAGATCAGCCCCAGCGGATCGAAAACAGAGCTGACACCTGAAAGTATGCCTCGCCTGGTCAGCGGTTTTTCAGGGATGTCGATGTTGAACAGGATCGTATCAGAGAACAGATCCCACCTTACTCCTAGTGCCTGCTCACAGAGCTCAGTCTTGTGCTTCAAGAGGTCCACATTCTGCAGCGTCTTGGACCTGGAGTAGATCGGGATGGTTCCCAGAACTGCAGAGTCATTGCTGGCGAACTTTCCAAGCTTAAATCCGCCTTCAGCGCAGAGTTTCGTCGTGTTCTCGATGAGCGAGATGGCCGTACTTGCTCGAGGCGTTGAAGCTAGCCCATCATCGACATAGAAGTCGCGTTTCACGAAGGCGGCTGCTTCCTCTCCGTGTCTCGACGCGTACAGCTCTGCTGTCAGGTTCAGAGCGTGCATGGCGCACGCAGGCGACGAGATGGCTCCGAAGAGATGCGTGGTCATTCTGTACAAGACAGGCTCCTCTTCCACGTCACCTCCCGGCCACCACAAGAATCTCAGTAGGTTTCTGTCCGGCGGTGTAACCACGACTCGGTTGAACATCGCCTCAATGTCACATGTCAGCGCGATCTTCTCCTTTCTGAACCGCGTCAGAATGCCTACCAGGTTGTTGGAGAAGTCAGGTCCCTGCAACAGTTCCCGATTGAGGCATCGTCCACGGTACTCGGTACTGCAGTCGAATACCACTCTGACCTTGTTTTTCTTCCTTTCGATGACGCCATGGTGGGGAACGTACCACACACGTCCGTTGCTGGCCTCGATTTCTTCATCAGGGACGGGCTCGGCGTACCCTTTGGCCAGCATCTCTTCCATAGCTCTGACGTACAGGTCCTTGTAGTCAGAATCCTTCTTGAACTTCCTGCTTAGGGACTGCAGACGGCCCTGAGCTTGTTCAATGTTGTCCGGCAGTTTGGTGTTTGGCTCACGCAGCGGAAGTGGAGCCTCAAAACGACCATCTGCGAGCTGGTGCATACTGTCTTCCATTATCATCAGGAACTGCTTGTCGTCTTGAGACATCGCTTTGCCCTTGTCTCTCTGTGGGTCAAAGTCAGAGTCCAACATTCTAGCGACTTGCTCTGGATGTAGTTCTCTGGCTCTCACTCTGAACGCGTAGTGTTGAATCCTCTTTGGGCCTGCTTCTGTCGAGATGAAGAGGCACGCAGAGTCTTCTTGTCCGTCAGTTTCCTCGGCCTCTCCCATGTAGCCAACCACACTCCAGCCTAGGCTCGTACGAATCGCCCACGGCTCGTCGTCTCCACCTGTGATCACTTCAAGGGGTTTCAGGGCCTTCGAGCAGTTGACACCAATGAGGATACCGATCTCAGCCTCGGGACGATACTCTGGCAGCTCTCGGGAGACTTCACGTAGATGTGTCCACTCGGCTGTAGTCTCACGTCGTGGAATGAGCTGACGTTCGGCTGGGATGTCTTCCTTTGAGTATGTGGGAGGCAACTCTATCTTCTGGCTTCCAGAGAGATCTCGGATGGTGAAGCCCCTGATGACTTGACTTTTGGAGACAGTCTTCCCGGTCATCGTGTTCACTTCCAGAGCCACTTCTTCACCATCCACACCCATTCTCTGCAACACAGAATCCTTCACGAAACAGGTGTCGGACTGTGGGTCCAACAGCGCGTACACGATCTCTTTGCTGGTTGGACAGTCTCGATGCTCAAGCTGGACGGGCACCAGCATCGAGTGTGTGCACTTCAGCCTCACACTTCTCGTGTCACTGGAGGTGACATGGAGCGACGTGGCCGTCGTCTGGGTTCCTGTTGAAGCAGAAGCCGTCCTGCTTTGCTTCAGAAGGCTCTCATCGTGCAGTAGAGTAGGGTGCAGTCTTTTGCACTTCTCGCACTGCTGCTTCCTTCTGCACTCTTTCCACCTGTGGCCTCGTCTCAGGCAGCCTCCACACAGTCCTCGTTGCCGAACGAGCTCCTGCCGCTCCTTCAAGGACATCCTCATGAACGCTGCACACTGATCCATGGAGTGATCGTCCTTACAGATGACGCAGTGCTGCTGCTGAAGCTGCAGGTTTTCCTGTCTCTGATTCACCGGCACAGATGTAAGAAGCACATGTGTGTTTCTTTCCTTCTTTGTCGGTGGTCTCTTCCTGTCTTCTTCTCGATTCCGTGACGTCACAGGACCAGAAGAGACTCTTGCCTCCTTGCTCATGAAAGAGACGAACTGTGAGAAGGGAGGATACTGAGGCATGGCACCATCTTCAGGCTCATGTATCCACCTGTCCACCACCCGTCTCCAACTGTCACTCATGTACCTTGGCAGTTTTCTGATGACCATGTCAATATCATGCATGCCTTCAAACATCTTCAGCTCTTGCATGGAGTTTGAAACCATCAAACACTGTTCAAGAAAGTCAGCCAGTTCAGTGAGTGACTTACTGTCTCCTGCCTTCACCTCTGGCCACTTGTACAACCTCTTCTTGAACTCATTGGCAGTGATGAAGGCATTGCCATATCGGTCTGTCAGTCGTTTCTTGGCCTGCATGTATGCGTCCTCTGAGCTCAGCTGTAGGAAACCGAGAATGGAGTTCCGAGCATCTCCAGCAGTGTAGTGTCCCAAGTAATGGAGTCGTTCACTTGGTGACGAGCATCTGGCCTCAATGTAGGCTTCGAAAGCCTTCAGCCACATGTGGAATGTCGTGTGGTCGCCTCTGAAGACGCTTGGCTCAATCTGAGGCAGACGATCTCTCTGAGCCTGCTGAGAAAGAAGCTCAGTCAACACAGACACAGTCACTGGTCCAGTTGCTGGCTCAGGACCTGGGGGTGGAGATGGTTCAACTGCGGTCAGCTGCGGGTTGGCACAGTTTGTCATGTCTGTGTTTGCTTCATGACAATCAGTAGTACATTCTCCCGTACTGACCTGGTTCACCTTCCTTGTCTGCAGGCTACCATCTCCAACTTCTTGTGGTGTCAGAAATGATGTGTCAATCTCCCTTTCCATATTCTCAATCACTTCTGTCTTTGCTTGCTGAATCTTCAGTTCAGTGTTCAGTTTGTGTCGTTCTTCTTTCCACTTCAGTTCTTGCATTTGGGTTTCCATCATTTTCATTTCTCTTTCCAGCTGGCACTTCTCCTCAAGAGCAGCTGCTCTTGTCTTGAGCTCCACTGTGCTTTGGCTTTCTTTTACTTTCAACATGTACAGCTGGGCTCTCATTGACATTCCTGATCTTGATGACCCGCTCCTCGTAGATGAACATTCATCTTGATCCTTTGCCTTCTTTTGGTTGACATCCTCTCCTTGGGCTGGTGTCAGAGATTCAATTGTTGCTCTCATGACCTCCAACTCTATCAGTTTCTGCTCATACGTTGTCCTGTGCTCATCATAATCTCCTCCCAGAAGAGTACGCAGGTCACCATCTGTCTGTTTCAGTCTAATGTAAGTGTGCTGCCATCTGGAGATCTTTGCAACTGTTTGCTGCATCCTGTCTTCATCATCTTCAGATGTCAGATCATCCAGAAGCATCTTTCCGTCTTTCTCCAGCTTGATCAGCATTTGTCTGAACATCTTCAGCTTCAACTCCTTATGGTACTGGTAACCCTTCTCAGTCATTTTCAGTGCCTGGGCGGGCCTTGTGACAACACGCTCTTGATCATCAGTCGGATCCATGGTGTGCAGGTAATTGGAACGACGAGGTAGGTAGGATTCAACAAAATTCTGTTCTAAATCTACACTATCAGTTCATGTTAGTCATGTGCCACAGTTAGTGCCAACTACAACATAATAAAACAGGATCAATCATGGGTAGGTACACTGTTAGTTTAAAACACACCTCAAAATTCAAGCAAATAACTACACTGGAGGGAAACCCTGGTAGGTACAGCTTTGTCTCATTGGGCCAGGGAGGAATTCATTGTGCCATAACTGGAGAGATTATTACTGTTACGGCAGGCAAAAGATTCGTTTGATAGGATTTATCTATTGTCGCCTCTTTGATGTACGTAATAACTGAAAAATACACATAAATAACAATCAGTCCATAAAAACGATAATTGATACAAATATGACGCTCATTCATATAAAGCATAGATTATCACAGCCAAAATTATGAGAAATAAAGCAAATAAATGGTTAAATCAGTAACGTAACAAGTCAGTAACATATTGGCAAATCATTTGGATAATAACATAATCATAAATATCATCTATTCTGTCACCTACTCTCTCCTTCCTTTGGCATAGCCCACGTGTCAGATATCTCAGCGCCGAATCACTGGCCACGATGCGCAGTGCGCCACGCAAACAAATCAAGGGCCGCGTTCGCCGCGCTATTCCTGGGGAAACCCGCAAGCAAATTGTAATGCGGGAACAGTACATACGTGGAAGTGTTCTTCGTAAAGAGGGTTGATCGTGACCACATTGACAGTTACTCAGTCAGTGGCGAATATCCGCCTTTTTGTGATGTTATGCCTAGGCCGCCATAAAGAAGACTCGTCCGTCCCAACCGATTGTTCATTGTTCATCCTTCCGCCTCTCCGAAAACATCGCGTTACGTACCGAGTCATTTATGAGTCGTCAAAGTACAACAGAGGCAACAGAAGCGTCACGAGCATCGGGAGACATATGAGGCACACAGATTCGGCCCGGCGACCGGCGGACGCCGCGCACTGGGGCCCAGCAGGCCGCTACGGCGGGACCGGTCGGTCGGGACTGGGCTGGGTGGGCCCCGGCCGGCCGTGCCCGGACCGTGTAGGTGGCGCTGTGATCGCTCACGATGTTGTAGAGGGCGCTGCCGCTGCCCGCAGCACGTCAGCGGACGGAACCGATCGCCGGACCATGAATGAGAACTGAAAAAGATGGGTTACGCGTGGTCAGATGGGTGTCAGGGCGGCAGCCGGAGCAAGCCGGTTGTGACCTGTAGCATATTGCAGAGATCTCGACTCCAAACATGATACGCCGGATTTCGGAAGTATCTCACTCGTGTCTTTTTGTTCGATCAACCCAGTGACAGCTGAGAGCTGGAGGTCAGATTTGAATGAATTTAAGGGACGAAATTTGTCATGAAAAAATTGAACTGTGAAATTATTAAATCGTGCCGCAGTATCAGAAGCGGTCATATTATCCCACCTCTTCGTTAGGGAAACAGCGAACGGCCCATCAGACACTGGCTCGACATGCATGCGTTTACTGTACACTTACTTTGGAAGAGTTTATTCCTCTTCCTCCTCCTCCTCTTCTTCCTCTTCCTCCTCCTCCTCTTCTTCCTCACTCTCTTCCTCCTCTTCCTCCTGGGGAAACAACGATCAATCGTCAATGGCTATCTCTACAGATCGACTCTTGCTTATTTATCGTAATTAGCTAATAGGGTAAGGCTACACGGGCTAAGAACAACGCATTACTGTTCGTCTTTATCCAATTTGCAATGCTTGTTATCTTAAAGTTATTTCAACATTTAGACGGTTGTATATTTGTATCGTGTATCGTATATTACCAGCGTGTGTATCGTGTACGGCGTATGTGTAGGTCGTATTTCATCCAGCCAGGTATCTACCCAGCCGTGTTATTTATCTGCCGTGTATCGGCCGTACTGACCAGGGGTTCGGGCTCGATCTCGGCCGGGGGTACTAGCTCCTCCTCCTTCTCCTCCTCCTGGGGGGTCTCGGGGTCATCCGACTTCTTGCCGGGTCGCTCACCGAACCACTTTGGGAGGCGCGCTGGGGACGGACAGCGGGTGGGTCAGATCGGGGAGGGGTGGAGGGGAGGCGCGCTGGGGACGGACAGCGGGTGGTCAGATCGGGGAGGGGTGGAGGGGAGGCGCGCTGGGGACGGACAGCGGTGGGTCAGAGCGGGGAGGGGTGGAGGGGAGGCACGCTGGGGACGGACAGCGGTGGGTCAGAGCGGGGCGGGCAGGTCGGTAAAGGTCACCGAACAGTTGGGGAGGCGCGCTGGGGACGGACAGCGGTGGGTCAGATCGGGGAGGGGTGGAGGCCGCGACACCGAATAGTCGGGAGGGGGCTTCTTGGTGTGAAAGATGGTTTGAGAAAAGACAACGATGTGATATTTTAATTTTTGACAATGTAGAACTCGACTTCACCCAATCCATGACGACGCCACACAAAAAACTTTATAATTATGTATGGAAACATCAGATGCAAGAGTTGCGAGTAACACAAGTTTCGACAGTTGGCAGAAGTGAGCTTTGTTAGAGATTCGGCCCCTGTAAAAGAGAGTCCTTCCCCTGTAAAAGAAAGAGAGTCCTTCCCCTGTAAAAGAAAGATGATACTGCACAGAGAAGAAGTCATCGATCGGAAGCGACAGAACAGAAAAGACACAAAACTTGCTTACGAAGAGAACTGGGTGATTGATTTTATTTACTGCAGAGACTGACTATGGGCTGAAGTAAATTCACACCCAAACTTTAGTCGCATCGAGACAGTTACTCTATGACATGATATATCTGACTGAGAAAGTACGATATTTTAACTGTTCTGCCATTCGTCAACCCAGGTTACTGTGTCATAATACACAGAAGGGATCTGATGCTACACCAATAAAGGGTCGTTAGGGTATCATTTACTGTTAAATAGCGTGCTATTAGTGCGGGTCCGAACCCCCTACAGACCTTTGGAGCGGTGGTCGAAGTCTTTCAACTTTTCCGCCCACTGCTTCTCCTTGCATTCCTTCTCCTGGTTGATAAAGCCCTGTAGATGACATCGCCCACTACGGTCAAAATTCTACGACGGCACACGCCCGCCTTTGTACAGCGGCATGCAACGTACAGGGTCAGTCATTCGGTCAGCCGCCGGCGTCGGGCCAGTCCAGCGGCCGCGCCGGTGCTGCCACCTGCGGGGAAAAATCTAAGCTAAGGTTCCACGTCGAGCCGCACGTCCTAGGCCGGATTCGACCGTGGTGGGCGCGTGTAAAAAATTGATAACGCGCCGCTAGCTGACGACTGGTGACACCGACTAGTGACGTCACTTACTCTTGGGCCGCTTTTCCCACTCCTGTTTCTTCTCACCCCACTCCTTTTCGAGGTGTTCTTTATTGATATTGTCCCATCCCTGTGGCATACAAGGCGCTCTGATACGCCGCCAACAGATCCCCCGCATTTTCAGCCCACACTGACACTCCCACTGTCCGGCACATTTACGTATGCATCCGATGCTCAACCAATATATGCAGTCAAAATAATAAATTAACTTCAAATAAACACACTTCAACACCTAAACAGCGATGGTGTTACCGGTTCGCAACAGCAAGGTTGGTGCAATGTTTCAATTCTGCTCGGGCAAACTTGACCTTCAAAAGACGAGCTACACTGAATATGCTAATTCGATCTGTTTCCCGGGTTGTTAAGCTCTTTTTTTTAGTAGAAAATATTTCCAGATTGCATATTTGACATCACCCTAAAATAACTCACTTGATGATGGACTATGCATGTCATTTCAAGATTCTAATCACGCAATAATGAAGTACATGAGTTTTGAATATAACTTGTAGGCGTGTTCAAAAATGGACGTGGCTACTGGACCCGGCTCAATTAGACCAAATAAGTTACCATGCAGGCAGTATGACTGATGACAATCGAGGAACTTTTCGCTGGGCTGATAAAATATGGAACGGTCGGCACCCGTTGCAAAGCAATGGTTTTATAATTAACCATAACTGGCCGTGCTTTGGTTTAATAGGATGTCCCAGACGATTAAGACCGTTTTATGAAACACCGCTGCTTTTCTGAAGACCCGTTAGTTTGATTAGACCATCAAACACGAAAGTCGTCTACGTTACAATTTAGACAAAATTGAGCATAGAGTCGTGAATTCATCGTGTGAGCGGAGCCTATGCACATCATGTGGAGTGCAAAGTGTAGAGACGAACGTCGAACAGGCAGTGTCTTGGCATGTCGTCCTCGACAAATTCCGCGGTAGCCTTGACTGAACATCCACTGTACTTTCATTCTGACCGTCACCACGACCATAAAAAGCAAACAGCGCAAATCACAAACAAATACCTGCATGATAGTCAGATAGGCGGCTCCAAAAATCGGTGCCATCGCCGGCTGGCCGGGCCGAAAATCGGCCCCAGTCTCTATGCGATCGCGAGCGCTCGAGTCGACAACCCGGCACAAATACGGTATGTGAAAAGAGTCGTAGGTGTCACTTACGCCGGCGAAGAGATCCTTCTTGTCGACGTAGGTCCGGCGGTCGATGGTGCGCTCAAACTTGGAGGCGGTCTGGATCTTGGGCTGTGGGCAGAACGAGCGGTCGATGTTTAAGAATGAAATTATTTACGTAAGATATTCTGAGTTCACTGTAATGAGTGTGACCTGGGAAAGTGCTATGAATTATTTCTGCTCTATTTGCTCGTATCAAGCGATTCGGACGGATTATGTAAATCCGAGGTCATTTGGCGGTAGTGCTTAATATCACATTTGCATATTGATCTAGCAGTGATATTTTAGATTTGTACTCCGACCTTAACACGACATGCACTAATTTACCGCTAGCATGGTTCCAAATGACCAAAATAATCCCCCTTTCACCCATTATTAGAAAGTGTTGTCATTGTAAGGCATTTCTAACGGACCGAGCCCGGTGTAGCATTGCGGATTCATCGTCCAGTATAACCGTACCGATACGGGGTGCGTGAGTCGCCACTGTCAACTTACCGGGTGCTTTCCAGTCAGGGCCCTGGAAGGAAGCCGATGCGGTCAGATAGGCGCGGCAGCGACGGGGCGCGACTCGGAGTCACACACGCTACCGCCGGACATCGCGACATGAACCGGATCCGGCCGCACCAAAGAACCGATTTTAATGCAGCTCTTCAGCGCATTCCTAACACATCGAACAAGTACAGCGAAAAGTCCGAAATAAACACGCAAACTGGATATTTCCCAGGACGTCGTCACCGGTGAAGACGGTGATACGATGTGGTGAAAGTATCGCCTGTGTATTCCGTTTGGCGTGATATGACGTGAGTAATTTTCTAACGCTAGGTCCTGTTCAATATGTCACCAGTGCCGTTACAGATCAACTAAGCCACAGATATACATATTTACAGAGCTAGGCACTAGGCAGTACTTTACATTGAACAACGATAAGCGACGATTAATTGAAAATGCCCTCTCCAGCCCAACTGAACTGATTTAATTTTACATTACACACACAATACGATACAAACCAACCTGGACCGGCTTGTTACTCTTCGTTCCGGCGTGTCTTGCGGCTAGTCGTGCAGTAGCGGCGGTAATGCCATTAGCGCCGTTACCGTTGTTCCGTTTTAGTCCATATCATGTCACTTACTCTACCCCTATTTAGATTCATTTCCCGTTTACATGGTTTCTATTGTACCCGTTTACGTGGCTAAAGTTTTCGAGCATATGGTTCATTAGTTCATATTATACCCCCAAGCTGGACCTATTTTGAAGAATTGGATGCTCGGACACGGTTGATTTTACATGTGGACATTGCCGTATGAATAAGAGCGGGCCCAACTCGCTCCACCACCAATCCCCAACGACCAGGAGCTCCTACTAAGTCACTTCAACCCCGGACAGTAAAATTAATTCGTCCCGGACCATCCCCTCCCCGTCTACTTACTCGGGCTCGAGTCCGAGCCTGACGGCCTTGTGACGCAGCTGCATCTTCTGTCGCTCCTTGAGCTCCTTCAGCTGTGTCGTGCAGAGGCGACGGAGGGTTAGCCAGGTGGCCGCAGGCACAGGCGCACCGGGGGTCTACACACTACTGTGGCTACAGACTAGGGCGGGGCAGGGTGGCCAGAGGCTAGGGCGGCGACGGGGAGAGAATGACGAAAATTCGGTGGCAAGACGTGAGAGCTTGAGTTGCCGGTGTGTGAACGGCAAAATATGTGTAAGGCTATTTATCAAAACTCCGCGTGGGCTGGCGGCTGTTTGATAAATAGCTTTCCTCAATGCGCCGTTTTGCACTGGTCAACTCAAAGCTCCACTCCTGCGCTGCAAAGTTTCGTCAGTTCGCTCCCGCCGCCAGCTCAGGTTCGTGGCCTCGAGCTGGTGTAGAAAAAGGTGCTATTTGGGTCACAGTTGTCCGTGGTTAGGTATGGTATATCGGCAGCGGCAGATCCGCCAAGAAAAATGCCGGCCAGGTAAGGTCTGGGTCGGCGAAAGCAGCCTTGCGGTGGCGTCTGCCTCAAAGTTCGTGACGAAGAACAGTTTCGAGGCGAGACAATGGTGGGCTGCGGCCGCTGGGGCCGCCGGAATGTCAGGGTGGTCTCCCCAGCCCGTTATCGGGATATGGAGCGGGTATGGGGTGAGGGTCTGTTGCTCTTTGTGCACGCATGGTGCAGCATACCACCACTGCGACCCAGTCAGGTAACTGAGCGGGATTACGGATGTTTGGTTTATAGTGATGCTATGCTCGTGAGACCTTTTTAACTATTTGTTATACTCGTACCTACCGATTCAATATTTGTAAAAACATGCCATTTGTTATATCTGTGACCATCTACGTCTCGCAAACATGATTTGGTAATAAAAACTATCCGAAAAACTACAAATAAAGGAGAAATAAGATTTAGAGGAAACCAGCAAATTTTGCCCAAAATTTTGTCCCACCTCACTACTTTATGGAAAGTTGTCTATCAGTAGAAAAAAGCATCTACACCATGCAAAGATAAATCTACTCGCGCCATAATACATGAAGAGATCTGGGCGTAGTCACACGTGCAGCTGGTGCTAGAAAATTGTGGTCTGTGCTCCGGCGGGGTCTACAATAGTGGGGCGTCTATGGAAACAGGGTGAACTGGCCGGCCCCGGGTCAGCCAGCGAGGTATGGCCAGTCTGCTCGGCGTGCTGGGGTCACCTATAGTTATATTCCGGCACTTACTCGGGGTCAAGTCCTTTCTTAAGAGCTTTGTGGCGGAGCTGCATCTTTTGCCGCTCCCTGAGCTCTTTGAGCTACAACAAACGTGGAGCCAGGGAGCTATCATACGCCGCCGCCGCTGCTGAATACACTTTGATATACGACACGGCACACGGAACGCTGACAGCGGAGACCACTGAACACTGAGGGCACCACACACGGCGACGGATGCTTGGCTACTCATCAGTCATGCTCCATCCTATCAGGTACCTGATACATCTACCATATTTCTCATCTACACAGGCAATAGGCATAATCTACACACACGCTTCCATTGGAGGTTTCGATGCATAAAGTAAATACTCTAGTCTCTAAGTATGAAACCGTCCAGTTCAGGAGATCGACCTTTTCAACAACTATCAACTACATCAACCTATCGACTCAGGCCAGGCGATCAACCTATCCACCTACTAAGGGTCATACAGATTGGTTTCTTACTGTCGCGGCTGAGACGGCTGACCAGGGCGGTTGCCTGGGCTCTGACGGCCTCACAGCGGGACTGGCGCCAATAAAAACATATGGTTTGTCCAAATTATGTTTTGAATTGGGTCTGCCACTTCACCCAAAAATTACTTTATGTCTTTAGTATCGGACGATGAATATCGACATTTTCTCCAACAAGTAACAAAAACATCCCGTTTTCCCTTAAGTATTATCAGATCTGGGAGAAAATTATTAAAATTACAGCTGCAGTAGCAACCCAGCTAGACGTGCAGCTTCCTAATAATATGCAAGCAATTAATTAGATTCCCTCGGATGCTCTTCCCAAGCCTGTATCGGGCATTTATAACGCCAACTTACGTCGTAGTCCTGGCGCTTCTGGCGCTCCTCGAGGTCGTACTTGTCGGTCTCGAGCTGCACCAGCTGTGTCCACAGGTCATCGGCCTTCTTTTTGAGCGACTCCAGACCCATGCCCTGCGGACGAACGTCGAGGAAGGTTAGGATCAGCGCTATTGAAAAAGACAGCATTGCTGGCTTTCGATGCTTAATCTGAGTCACGTTAGTTATATCGATGTGGACATAACTATATCGATTCATGGCGCATATTTGAGTCTATGTCACATAAGCAATTGCCGAATAACACCCAGCAAATTATGAACAAGCTCAGAACGGTTTTCATAAACCACTGTTTCCAATACCTAAGCAGATAAACCAAACGAATGTGAGCCGAATATTACAAAGGTCCGATACGTTTACGAACGCGAGAGTTAAAACACGCTGCGATACGCTTCAGAGCCAACTTCACTCACGTCCAGGTTGAGTTTCTTGATGCGGACGCTCATGGCGAGCTGTTTCTCCTCGGCCAGCTGCTCCTTGGTCTTCATGACCTCGGCCTTGGCGGGCGTGGAGCTGGTCTGTTGAGGGAAAGGGGCGGGGTCAGACGGCTTCGCATCGAGTTGGCGTGAGTCGTCCTCATTGACATTTTCAGCAGTCTTATTTTTTCATGATCGTAGTGCTTCTGGACTTGACTTTTGACATTTGAAATTTGACATCTAGAGATGAAGTGCAATTCCAACACACACTGCTTCTCAGAAGCATGCCTTTTAGAAGTCCCCCGTAACGGTATTCAGTCTCATCACTCCTTAATCCACGCCCTTTTCCTCTCTTTCCCATCCCTCCCAACTCACCGCGTCTCCGCTCTTGCTGATTTTGATCTTTCCTCCGGCGGTGGCTTTGGAGGCCTGCTCGAGCAGCTGGCGTTTCTTCTCGGCCTCCTCGAGGCGGCGGCGCTTTTCCTCCACCTCGCGCTGCTTCTTCTCCTCCTGTTCGCGCAGACGGCGCTCATCCTCGACCTTCTTGGCGGCCGCCAGGCGCTTCTCCTCCTCGGCACGCAGGACCTGAAGACGAGGGAGGCGAGGTCAGTAGAGGCCAGTGAGTGGTGGGTGTACTGAGGTGTTGAATAACCACTAACCATATAAGTTGCCCAGAGCGGGAGAGCAAAGTGAAGTAAACGAGTCGAAGCATACCGCAATTTTAGCAAAAAGTGGTCAAAATGTTGGTGACTCGTAGAAAAATATGAACAAAAAAGCATGTTCTGCGTTGAGCTCGTTTACTGCCCACAGGCGGCAAAAAGCTCAGTGTCTCACTGGTCATAGGCAACTTCGATACACAACAACTTCCAAAGCCTGAACGCTGCAACAAGGGTCTCAAATCTCCTGGATAAAACTATCCATCCATATCCATAGGCAGTCATGGCTCGCCGGGGCCGATTGTCTCACCTTGCGCTTGGCCTGTTTCTCGCGCAGGTTTTTCAGCTCTTCCTCCTCCTTGGCGCGCTGTTTGCGCCACTCGGCGATGTACTCTTTGAGCTGTTCATCCAACTCGGAGGTGGTGGTCTGCTGCCGGTGCTGTCAATCGTCACAGGGGGCACAGGTCAGGTCATCGGAATAGGTCAGGGAACATGAGGTGTTCACGCTTGTTGATTGAGCGACGTTGCGACATCGAAGCAATAAGTAATTCTTGAGAGGTAAAATGTCACGCTGAGGCGAATGCGTAGAAATTACAGACAGTAGACATGGAACTCGAAAAACTTTGAACAACTTTTAACATTTTTCCCATTATTTGCAAACAATTCGCCATGTGAATTATTATAACCGTTTATTTTGTTTGACATAGAATGACGTTTAGCTATAGATGTTGGTTCTGTATTCGAAATTGACACTCACAGTGAAGATGTTCTCCTCTTTCTTCTCCTCAGCATGCCTGGAACGTAACAACAGAGCACGTGAACATAATGTACCGAGTCACTGGATGGCGACCGTACAATACGAAAGGCGTTCTGACTTCTCCAATGGACACTGTACCCGGGCAGGATTGGGCCGGATTCCCTGGAAATGTATCATGAGTCATAAACAGACCAGGCAAGGCCTCCCAGCATAAACAATTAAACAATGAGCCATTATGCGTTGGCGATGTCAGCTTAAGCCGTGTTTGCTTGTTGTTATATAATTATTGTTAAATAGAACAGCAAACTAAAGAGCGACTGAGCGAAAATAGCTAGGCAGAATGCGACTTAACATAAATACAGCGCAGGTTTATGAATAAGTTCATTGAACCTAAATTCCAGCGACTGCTAAAAGCAACTGAAGATTCGTCATTGTTCGGTGGTAAAGCGATACTCACGATTTTACCAAGCCCCGTGTCATACTACGATCGATGATGAAACAGATATAGCGTGTTCTGCCCACCGACCCAACAGCGCCAGAGCAAGCGGCATTGAACACACGGATAGCCCGACCGGCACACGGACAAACGCAAGCGACCACTCCCCCACACACGGCAGGGGTGTGGGTGGATCACACAGCGGCACATGATAGATGTGGGGTTAAACGCCGCTGTTCGGCCGAAACCAGCGCCACAGCGCAGACAGAGCGCCGCCGCCAGCGGTACGGGGCGTGTCACGGGTAGAGCACCGAAAACAGAGGTACGGAGCCCGTCTGCACAGGTCACACACGCCGTGGAAAAACACCACCACGCTGGGTCAAACCGGCCGCCCGACGGGTCGGAGGCATGCATAACCACGCAACACCTCACAGGATAGCTGAAAACAAGAAGCTGAAAACGAACGTGGAGGATTGTGGACACACGAGTGACGTGAAAATTGGGAGTCATGAGGAGCCTTGGCTAAAAAATAGTCTTCAGATGTTTTTTTTTTAACCAAAAATATGTCTACAAATATCCTTGGTCAAGGATTTGTCTCGAAATTCGAATATCTTTCGAAGGTCTATTTATTTTCTCAGAAATCAAGCTTCGTTTTTTTTCTTAAAAAAAAAAACTTAAAAGTTTCACTTGACTTTATATGAATAACAAAAAGCCACATAAATTTTCACGTCTCTGCGGGAGAAATGTACACTGAGGTGGTGGACAGTGAGACAAGATGTGCGTCAGTTTCCACACCGTCACAGCACCACGGCACAGCCCTCCCACTTACTTTGCAGGCTTCGGCCTGTGGGCGACGGGAAGGGCGCGTTAGTGAACCAATTGTGGGCGCTACTGACGGCGCAGCTTAGCACCACTAGAGGTCAGTGCCTAATTCAAACGCTATGGGTAGCTAGCTGGCTAACCAGTGACTAAAGCATTCCAAGTCGGCATTTGACTGATCTTGAGTTACGCTAAAACTAGAAACTAGCGCTAGTAAACTATGGGCATACTTCATCGCAAAGAGTTTGCGCTGCAAAGTGATTGAGTTTTACGTCTGCTGGTGAGTTTTCTACAGTCACGGTGCACAGTTCGACGACTGGGGCGGTATTAAATGAGGTCGATGACGTGTTAGGTTGGCATTCATATTTCTCGGTGAGGTTAGCTATGCATCACATGCTGTGAAAAGGCATTGGTTAGGAAAATTGGTTATTCTTCTGATATAATGGTCATTGTAGCGGTGTAAAAACAGTCTGGGGTTTTGCAAACACATTGAATTGTTGTTCGATGTAGTCAGTACATTCCCAGCCTGCTCAGTGCATATGTTGTAGCCCTTGCATTTTTCTGTTATATATCGCGGTCTGCATATGTATTTAGTTTCGTGACTTTTCCTCACCTTCCTTGAGCTAGTTGGCAACCAGAAGTATAAAGAATAACGATTTCAAACCAGCAATGAAAACATAAAAAGGGGAATTTCCCGTTTTATAATCGACATAAAAGCCAACTCCCGTCTGATAACCAATTGATGAATGTTATACCGTCGGTTACTTGCAGAGAGTTTGACGCTCTTGCAGCATGTCCGTTATACATAACACGATATCCGATTTTTTTCTTCTTTTTTTTTTGCTAGGAATTTGGTGGAACTGGCACTGTTCAAGTCCGGCATCGTATTTTTTACAGTAAAAATGGCTCATTGTCACCTAAATGGACCACAGGTGGTCAATTATATCCGCACCCTTTATTGTTTGCCAGTACCCCGAACACGAAAAACGCCGTTCCACCGTTAGGAAGGCACCGAAACAGCGGCACGTATAGGCAGGAATCCCAATCGACCACGTGCTTCGGGCAAGGTACATACTGTTTACTATTATTGCATGCTGGATGTGCCGATATTTCCACATTTACCTCTGGTATCAAACCTCCCTGCCTTTCACAAATACTGGAGTCATGCTAGCACATTGGCACATGATGACACCATAAGGCATTTTCGTTACATTATTTGCAGTTCAAAACGATACCCATTTTGCGGAACATGCAGTGGAACTTTCCAGAGCACCTAGGCAGACATCCTTTTCCTACCGCACAACCAGTTTTCGTAAAGCAAGTAAACTCACGATATGTCACTTCGTACACAGATTAGCATAACCGCAAGTCACCTGACAAGTGGCAATGTGCCTTCTACTTAGTCAGATAACACGTGTGTTTGCATGTCAAAATGTATAACCGCGTGGGCTGTGTATATTATCTTAGTGTGTCACATTAGCGAGGGTTGGTCGGTCAGTGGTGAGGACGGGGGTTGGGATCAGCACACGCCATGCGGTACTCACTCCTCCTGTTTGGGAGCCTCCTCCTCCTCCTCGCTACTGTAGATGGGAGGACAGAGCGCCGGTCAGATAATGTTATAGAACAGCGGCGGCGGTGGGTGACGCAGACAGCAGAGAGGGAGAGGACAGAGAGGAAGGGATGGAGAAAGAGAGAGGGAGATACAAAATAGAGAGGGAGGGAGAAAGAGAAACAGAGACAGAAAAAGGTGGAAAGGAGGAAAAGAAAGAGAAAATCGTATGGAAGCTGCAAGTCACACATATCGGCCCGCCTGTAGCTGTCAATGCTAATTATATCTTAATCGTTACGGGCGGGTTTTACGAAAAAGGTAGGTATAGCTGTTCTATGTCAATCACTCCACGCTTGAGATGGGTCTATGTCTGTGTAACATACATACACAGTGTGTATGTATGTTGGTGTGTATTCTAGCAAACAGGTCTCAATCTGGAAGGAAGGATAGAAAACCCAGAACGTTTCTGACGTTCTTTCATATATACTCGTACTAATATGTCTGCAGAAAATATGGCATAGAATAAAAATTTAAACCATGGGCAATTCACAAAGTATTTATGAAAAATATGGTGGCAAAAACGTAAGGATAAAACGCCCGCAGTGTAACTTTGTGTTCGGTCACTCCAACTCTACTCTAGTAGGTATTTGCAGTTGGTACTTACACCTCCTCTTCTTCCTCAGAACTGAAACCAGAGGCACAGCCGGTTAGCAACGAAACTCGACGGCCGCATCAGCCCAGCCGAGGAGGCTCGCAGCTTTAAGCGAAAAACAAAGTTTGAGACGAAGCACGCAAAGTGGCGTCAAAGTCAGCCTAGTCAGCGTACTGACCCGAGTACGGACTCGGCAGTGATAAACGTAACGGCGGCGCAAAATAAATGATAGACATACACGGGCTTCACATAGACACTGATAAAATAGTCTGAAGCAATTAGCTGTATGAATACATTGGGTTAGGGCGCTTGCGATCGTCGTTAGTGGCTTCAGAAACGAGACGATATTTTTTGGGGGGTGGGGCTTCAATCACCCATGAGCCTAAAACATATTAGCATAGGTTATTTTTGGAGATTTATTTTCGATGATATGCCAAAAGCATATTGATCCTATCATGGTATCTACCAAGTATCTACAAGCGGTGCTTACATCAAAAGGATAAAAATAGTTATATTTTATGGATAAAAAAGAACGAACAGTTGACTGCTAAATTTCAGTAGCTATTGCTATTTAAAATTGGTCATGAACTGTACTGCTATATGGAGGATGAACATTTAAACTTAGTTTCTGAACTTTACCTATCGTAGTTCAAATATCTGACATTAAAATGAGAGCAAAAAGCGTGGTAAATAGTAAGTAAATATCAAACAGTAATTTACCAAACAAATGTCTTCATGTCGTAAAACAGAAAAGTCAAAATGAGTCGTGAAAATGTTTTGCAGTTAGTTTTATAAGATAGCGCAGAACGAAACGCAAGAATCGTTGGGACGTTTTTTCACAAAAGACGTGGTTCGCCGCCAAACGAATGGCAAAAAATTTGAAAAAGGTACATACATCAGTTAGGTATAAAGCTATAAGCGGTACTTACGAGTAAACCTCCTCGTCGTCAGACATGATGCTGTGTTTTTATCTGAAAACCGAAGCATGAATCAGTTAGCATGGTTAAATAACGCATATTGCAGACACATTACCTGCAGTTGCATTGGACGTCGCCATTCACTCTAACAGGACGTGACCACTAATCAATACGAAATGCTTGCGCTGATGCGCAGGGGAAACATGAAGTTATTGCACGCATCCAGCCGTTGCAAATCAATCTACCTTCGTGCGTAATTAATCGCAAAGGCCATCGTGATCTGAGCTTCCCAGTTCCCACTACATTCCCCGAAGAGCAGTGAGAGATTGGAGACCGGCGCAGAGCCGCCGTCTCGCTGGGACGGCGGCAGGGTGGTAGGCTAGCCCGCCGGACAAGAGTGTCGTGCGGCACAGTCTACCATGCCAGTGATTCATCTCCGCTCCACCGACCGGCGCATGGCGGGGGAGAGTGAAATAGCGCTTAGGAACCTAGGGTAATGTAAAAACTAAAATTCATATGACCGCACTATTTATCAGAAGTAGATTATGATCGCATTCAATGTAAGCAGGTATGCGTTTAGGGGGAGGGTGACTTGTTTCGCAAGAAGGCAATGGCGAATTTAAATGCTCTGTCATTTCGATAAAGAAGCGATCAACTATGGGAATAAATGCCGCATATTTTCAGCATCGATATAACGGCATTTAGAATTACTGGATACAGAACATGTTTCGTCCGAAGCAGTTACATCATGCATTTGGTGGGTACTCGAGATGATACCCATGACTGCGAGTAGAAGTCATCAACAAGTGGGCTGAACAATAAGGAAAGAATATATGTAAATGGGTACCCATCAGCAATCAGCATACATGTAGAAATGCAACAAATAGCACCCAACTAAACAATATACGTTTCAGCGAAGGGAGAACATCTGAAGCGTTTTCTGATCAGTGAGTTGGTCCCGGTCCGAGTAAAAGCCGTTCATCTCCATGGCCGTCTGTTCATCGTCTGGTCTCCCGCCGGCACCCCATCGGTGGCTGGTGCCAGGCCTGTCTGGACGCCGCCCAATAAAAACTCCCACATCCACTTTCTGGCGCCGGCGTCGCGAACTTTACTCCTCAGGAATGCGCTCGACGAACCACAGAAGATGGCGGCGCCAGCCAGTACACGTCCACAGATGAATGATATGGCTGCCTGCAAGCGTTCGCGAAAAATAATACAGTGTTCGACATATTATCTGGACCGATTTCTGCAGCAGCCAGCAATAACGGTGCGGAAATTTTCACTTTTACTGCCATTGCACCACGGAATGGCTTCATAACGCAAACTATCGTGACTATCTTCACAAATACCTATGCACTTTTGCCGCCAATGCTGGCAAGGATAAATACGTCCTGTAGGATGGAGGAACCTAGCTGATGCCAACGTCAACTGCCGGTGTTTTCTATGAAATTACGGCTGGTTGAATAGTTGGCAGCCGGGGCCTGGTGCAGGGGCCAGCCCCACCGACACCCACCCCCGAGCCAAGTGCAGGAGGTGTCGGCCCACATAGACATAACGGGTGGCCGAGCAGGGGCGGTGTCCCTCCTAACGACCCAGGCTGACCTCCAGTCAGGCGCGGATACAAGGGGGGGCCATGGGGGCCATGGCCCCCCCTTGGCCGATTTTTTTTTTCAAAAATAAAATAAAAAGTTAAAAAGTTAAAAAGCTGAAAAGGGGGCCTCCTGAAAATAAAGTGGCCGAAATCCGATGAGTTTTTTTTTTAACCTACCCACTTAGTTATTTCTTAGAAGACTAGCTGAGAAGACTTCTTTGTTAGAAGATTGGTAAAGCTTTTCATAACTTGGAGGTCTCTTATACTCACAGAGATGACCACTTTTACAGGGCCTCCTAACCTGCACAGAGGGCCTCCAAGCCTGCACAGATGTTGAGATGTTGCCTGAACAGCTAGATAAGCTCAATAGACGCAGTTTTTTTTTGGGGGGGGCCCAACAAGTGGGAAGATGGGGCCTCCAACAGGTGGGATTATGGAGGGGGCCTCCTGGTTTCTAATGGCCCCTCCCTTGGAGATTTTCTGGATCCGCCCCTGCCTCCAGTCACCGAGCCAGCAGAGGTGTTAAACGTCGCCGAGACGACCTGTGCCAGACAGCACAGATTGTCACAGCCATGGTTTGGACTTCATGAACCCGGAAAGACGGGCGGTAGTTTGCAGCAAGGCAGAATTATTGTATAAGTCGTCATTTGGAAATTGGAAGAATGAAAGTACAAAAAATATAATGCAAAAATATGATAACATGGTGCTCACTGACCATGCTATGGAAAATGTCTGCGAGGCTCTTAAACGGGGCAATAGGCACGTTAATTATATAACCCTTTACAATTCGCCGCGCTGTCTTCAGACCTAAGGCATAGGCGTAGGAACGCCCCCCCCCCACACTTTTCAGCCATTTTTTAACTAAAATCTTTATTTTTGATTTTGATACAAAACTAAGAACAGGAAATGATTCAGCAAGGTGAGATATGAGCACAAAACCGCAAATAATTTCTTCATAAGGGTAATGGGACTCCCATAAAGTGATATTGAAGTTTCGCTGCCCCCCCCCCCCCCCCACACACACACACACACTTTTGGTGAGGCTCCCACGCCCATGACCTAGGGTTGCAGTTTCTCTTTTCTCATAAATTCGTTTTACATTGGGTAGGGCAAGCCAAGGCAGTTTGAACCAAGGCAGTTTGAGCCAAGACGATAAATGTCGAATTTCTTGCCTTTTATAGCTTCGATTTGTATTATTTTTGTCATAAAAGTGAGCAACAAGGCTTCAAACTTTCAGAACAGAAATTTCTGCGATTAAGGACAACAGCCATGAATTGAAATGATGTTTTAAGTTCTTCAAAGTATTTGTGTGTTTTTATCTGAATGCTCACCCACCATTCGCTAGTTTAACTTAAAAGTAGAACAGGGAGCATTGAAAACTTTTGTTAAAACAGTATAATTTTCATTTTGTTAGAAAACGTAGGCATTACCTACGTAGGTAAATGTCCAAGATGCTTTTAATAAAATCCGAATGTTTATGCAACAATAAAACAAAATCAGCTAGCATCCGTGTACAGTTTGATCCATGAAAAGCGTCTTCAGAACATGATCTGACTCTGGCGCGCAGTGACGTTACTTTCCAAGACAAACAAAACGGCACAAAGTTCAGCTTCCAGGTGGTACAACAGTTCCACAGGCCGCCGGCAGAGGCGCTGGCGTCGGAGGTATTTTTGGACGGCCCATTTTTGCGGCCGGGGCGGGCGGCCGAGCTCGGGCGCGGAGGCCTCGTGGGGGATGCTATCGCGGCGCGCCTGTCCGTTCAACACGGGACAGCCGGCCGACCTGCTGTCAGGCACGCCGTGTCACGCAAAACACGTGTTGGTATTGGAGCCAAGACAACTGGTGAACTGAGGTTTTCAGGTTTCCGTCTAAGGAATATTGAACAGGATATTTCAATAATTATATTTTGTCAGGTAATGAGATAATATTCACCTAGTTGTCGCACTTGCATGCAACCACGAGGACAAACAATGCAGAACATGCGATTTTAAGTGAGTAGGTAGTAGGTACTTGCATACCTAGCGCTTTCACTGCAGGGGAACGAACCGTTTTATATAACAATTCCCAGAAAACAGATGCCATGTCCACTTTCTTACCCACGCCCCCAACTTTTTCCTCACTACTTCCACCCGCCCAAGGCCAGGGCAGCACAAACCAGCGTGTTTAGCTCCGGGAGGCCGCCCTTTTGACTGTGTGTTTACAGCGCGTCTGCGACAGTCGATAAACAGGGGAGACAGGGTGCCGACTTCCTGGAACTCGCGCGATGCGTCACTCTCCGAACCGGAGCTAATTTCGCCCGCGGGTGCAACCCGGCCGCAGCACACAGCGCATGCGCAGACCGGGGATGACCTATTTCGGCGGTCGGGGCCCGGGACCACGCCCTTTGCCTCGGGTATGGTCTAGTTCCTCCTGTAGTAGTTAATGATACAAGGGCAAGAAATACTTAAATTCACAAATGCATGCTTTTCAAAAGCAATTACGTGTACCGAAAGGTCCCCAGGACTGAAGTTAGAATAAAACCCTGAGACGACCAGGAAAAGGTGACGCTTCTTGAAAGCATCAGTCACTACGGTACTTCAGTGCATGCAGAGAGTTGACCTAACCATGGCTTTCCGAACTAACAAAAGGATACAAAAGTAGACTACTATTGCGCACTAGGCAGGGATAACGTACTCAGCTAAAGCAACAACCGATTGCAATTGAAGAAATTTAGGGTTTCTGGAATTGCAGCCCTGAAAAAAAAAATTGTATGGTTCCATTGCATGCCACGTGTAAGGTCATGAAAGCATGCAATAATTATTCCAATCTGGAGCAAATTAGCAGAAGTTTTATAGATAAACAAGTCAGCGAGTACTGCTGCTTTCACTGAAGCGGCATTCGAGCTTGGCTCCAGCACTCAAGGACGTAACGAAATGTATCGTGATGTCCCATAACGTGCACCATACGCCACTCGGTGTCCTTCTGATATGTTCCTGTGACCGCATCCGTGTTGGTCACACCATTCCAGACGGTTCCAACTTCCAAGTCCTTGGAAATCAACTCCAGCCCGTGTACCTCACAGCCAAGCCCCAGAGGTAACCAGATAGCCACCAGGCGTTGGTCACCAGGCGCCGCTGACCGCAGGGCGCGGGGCACATCACGGACACACAGACACACAAACACACACACAGTCGCCACAGGTCGCCGCGTCAGTCGCTCCGTGCGCTGGGGCTGGGGACGGAGACGGGCGGCACTTACGGGTGGCGCCGGAGAAGCTCGAGAGACAGCGCGGAGAGAGACCGCAGCCGGTGGAATGTGATCACGGCGAGGGTCCGTCGGCCTCTGAGAGCCGCTGCCGTCCAGCACGGGGAGCAGAGCGGCCCAGCAGAGGCTGGAGGAGAGCCAGTGCCAAACTTAGACCGCCCCGGCAGCTGGCTCCAGCGCTCGGCGGCTCCGGTGGCAGCCGGCCCGACATCCTACCCTCGGTACCGAGCACTGGGCCAGGCTTTACGCTGTGCGGTGTACAGAGTACATGTACATTCGGTACATCCCGACTCCCCCTACCCACGGTACTGAGCAGTACAGGCCGAGCTATCCTATAGGGTACCAGGGACTGATCTCTTGGCACACCTTATACACGATGCTTAAAGGGACCCTCCCACCTTCAAAAAAGTTAATGAATTGGCATGAAAGTGATGTCCCTTGGTTCAGAAAGAGCGAAAACGAATATCTACAAAATTTCACCGAAAAATATTCACTGGTTTTCAAGATTAGGCTTTTACTTTTGTTTACTTTTTGGGATCTCCCCTGTTACTAGCGACTTTATTTGGAAGCAATGATTTGGCAGCCTTAAAGTGCGGCAGACGTTGCGCGCAAAGCAGCGTATACCACCACGTGTTAACGATGGTTTTAGTCTAAGATTTAAAAATCGTTAGATCTCCGCTGACGTCACAAATTCTAAGGGGGCATTCCAATGCATTAGCCCCTTAGAATCCGAAAACTGCAAGTTTGAAATTCCATATCTTCGAATTAAAGCATTTTTCGATGTTGTGAGTGCCCAAACCGGTATTTGCAGGCCATGGCCACCAATTTGGCTATCTCAACTCAAAACTAATGTTAAGGTGGGAGTGTCCCTTTAACGCTGGGAACTGAATCCCGCATTGCTCCCTAATCCCTACCCACTTTACAAGGACAGAACAAGACAGCACACCATGCCAACGGTACTGAGGACTTCCTCCAGTACAGGGTGTCTCAAAAGTTCGTTGACACATTTCCCATGCCAATAAAGCATAAAAGGACCGGCCAAAAATCTAAGGTTTTGGTGTCTGTGTGTTCACTAGACAAATATGCATGCTTTGACAACTGATTCGGAAGGTTGGAAACCAAACCCTTTGCTGTATCTCCAAAAATATTTGCCCATACCGATTTTCGTCGCTCCGTCAGCTGCCGGAGGCTGATAAAAGGTTACCAGCTTTCAAGCTCTTGTAGGGGAATCCCCTGCAGTTTCTGCGTCGGATTTAGGTTCGACGAGCTCCCCAGCAGCATCCGCTTCTCCCTGAAAGCCGACAGCTTGCATCGACACCATCCGTGAGTATTTTGTAGGTCTTCTCTGGCGCTAACTCCTTCATGAATGACTGGCGCCGACCTCCCAAGCACCATTTTCCTTTTCAAAACAACGCCATTCCTGAACAAATGGTAAGTGCCAGGGGCAAATTTTTCGCAGCATATCGTAGCAGAATGTGTCGGCCATCTGTTCCTTAGACACATTTTGCAAATTTTGCAAAACCCAAACGCTCGTCATTCCCCATGCCAAGACCTTCGCTGGGTTCCGGAGTGTTTTCCTCAGGAGAGGTTCTGCTTTGTAAACGGCCAAGACCTGTCCATCGTGCGGTTTTGTCCGGATTTTGTTTGTAAAAGAAAGCTATTTGCTCCAGATCTGCCTTTTGAAACTTCGTAAGATAAAACTTAACATTAATTGACACTTTTGGAGGGTCACTTGTCCTCGGCATTGACGATTTTCGTGTTATTTTCCCCAAAAATTTAGCGTTATAGATATTATAAACAATTTTAAATGATATTTTGTCTTTATTTTATTATGACCTGCAATTTTTGAAACTGGGTAACCTCTGTCTGTAAGCTTCTAGTCAGTTTTCAATAGTTAGGACTGCATTTTCAGCTACTTTCCGGAGCACGAGTCTGCTGCCGTACAAGGGTCGTTCAAAACGCTGTTAGTCTCGCATGGTTTCGTCCTTCAAAAAAATTAGCCACCGTTTTTATTAGATGATCATCATATTGTACTCATCCCCGCCGACACTGTGCCATGTGTCATTTCCGACATAACCATTCCCATTACTCCTGAAGCAGAGAGTTTCTCCGACCCGATTTTGCGACCTCCATTTTCATGCCTAATCCATGGTCACAGGTGAACCCTTTTTGTGAGCTCATGAAGGGTCGAATGCGCTTGAAAACAATGAAATTGCTAAAGGAAGCTTGTTACCAACCCCCATGCAAAATTTCAATTGTTAATTTCTTGTTGATTCAGAATTATTGACAAAAAAGCATGGCTGGTACCTGTCAACGAACTTTTGAGACGCCCTGTAGTACACATTGCCACGGTACTGGTCACTGCCCCAAGGTCCGAGCCGAGCAATACATTTTATGTCCTACCCACGGTATTTGGGACTGATACCAGCAGCACAAAGTAGGAGGTCAGGTACTGAAGTCTGAGTCCAACAGAAATCGCAGCCAACAGCATTGCCACTAAGGATGAGACCCAGTGGCAATTAGATTTGAAGGCAGCTAGCTAGTAGCTACAATTATAGTACCTGATCTCAGCTCAGTATATATAATTAAAATACTTAAAACGCTACGCTCATAGCCGAGCCACGAATCTTGTAAACGAAACATGCAATATGCCATTTACGGGCAAGGAGCCAACTATGGGGAATCTTGGTAGGACGCCCAAAGGGTAATTTCCTGCATTGTGGCAGGTCTTGGAAATGCCTGCCGCATAGCCTCCCGTTACCCTCTGCTCCACGCAACTTTGATGCAGGTACATTTTACAATGACAATCGGCTGTCTCGCGATGTCAAAGTCAAGGTTCTTTTACAGCCAAAACGTTCACGCATCACCGCCGTGGCGGTTCAACCGGGTCCCAACCGTTCAAACGGATTGACAAAGGGCCCGTGCCGCAACGAGGGAAAGGGTCTGCTTAATTAGCTAAATAACTTCGCGAGAAGTGTAGTTGTTTTGTCCATAAAAGTGCTACGGTACAATTCATAGGTGAAAGAACATGCAAAAGTTGGGACATGCACACCAAAGTTCGGCCCGTTGACAGACAGCACCCGGGTTGATTAGGGTGCCCGGATGAAAAATGTAACAATTAGCAGAGTTAACATCAGACCAACTTGAAAGTTCGCCGTTTCAGACGAGCTCTGTTATTAAAAATATCTACAATAAAAAATGTGAGGTCCGACACTCGCTCTGGCGTGTATTTGATTTTTGCATGGTTAATTGTCTCCCAGACGCGTTTTTCTGCCTTCAGCACAATTTTTCATTGTTATTGCGTCTGAGCACATCTATTGTCTCTGAGAATGGGACATGCTTGGTGTCCTAATGCTGGGTCCAGGGAACAGCCCCGGCTCAAACTTAAGTGAAAAGCCGGTAGCTGAAGGCACAGATCAACTCTGCGTGGTTACACAAAATTACATTACAATTTACAATTTTCAGCCGTCTGTGTGTAGCCTAGTGGCGCCAGTTTCATAAAATGGGTATCCAATGTCCGTCCAATGCTCTGATATCTTCGTCGACTGGTCGTCCAAAAATGTCCAAGCCAGCCCTTTGTCCAAAGATGTTCGAAAACTGCATAATGATTTACACTCAACACTTCTATTTCATTTCCTTTTAATGTGTTACCAGCCCAAGTGTTTATCATATCGAAAGTTGAGCTTTCTATTTGCCAATCAATGTTTTATGCGATTATTTTATAAAAAAAAAATGCTGATGTGTAGCGGCTAGCAAGTGATTGTCCAATGTTGTCCAAAGCCTCCTGCCTTTATCCAACCTAACTCCGAATAGGACATATAGGACACAAGGTCCAAGTTCCGATTGGCACCACTAGTAGTCGCCTACATGTTTGCTTGTGCCATTCAAAGCCGGACTTCTTATCATAACGAAAGCTTGAGGGTGTGAAAGGGTTTCAAAGCTAGGCGTTAAAACGAAAGCCGGACCCTGCGCATCCGGGTGCTCGCAATGCCTGATGTAACCACTAACCATTAGCATGTCATCATAAAATGGCATACAGCCAGTCAAAATTGTATGCCTTCCCGCAACAAAGCAAACATCACCAGCCCATTCCAAACAATCACAATCACGTAAACAAAGTCATGGATGCCACTACGATTCAATGAGATAGTATGATGAAAAAGGACAAAGCGTTGATTCCGGGATCACCAAATTATTATAGGTGGATGTAATCGTATAATCAATTTCTGAGGTCACCAACAACTGTCACTAAAATAACTGTCTAAAAACTACCTCATCTTCTAAAGTATCCACAGAATTGTATTATAATATCGTCACACTTTGCTAAGCAGTTAAAAGGAAGCAAAGCAGCAGCATCGTTACGTCCAGTGAGCGTATCGGCCCGCGGTGACGCATTTATGAACCACAGGAGATTCGCATGACGAACCGGCGACTCATGGGGACTCATTCCCGACTCAGTGTGTCATTAGGATTCCCTGTCACACGCCAGTGCCATACACAGAAACGTCTACTTCTGACAAGGACAGAAAACCCGTTACATGATGACACACGACAGACAGAGGGCATCAGCGCCTCAGGGCCTCGAGATTTCATCACAGCTACTTGACACACTGACACAGCAATGGCCGCGGGTTGGCACGGACGCATACTGCGGGTTTAGCTCACGTGCATGAGCACAATGACACAGTCAGGAGTGAACAACATCGTTCAGCATCGGCGCTCATCTTGCCCTTGACGTCGACATTTTTCAGATGCCGCGACCGTGATAATTTGTCACACTCACAGGCTTCCTGTCACATGTCAGCCTGATGAAGTGGCGTAGCCTGTCACCAGGATCCTGACTGTCCACCGTCCAGGTGTCAGGGGCTAGATAAGCGTATGACTGTCCACATGCTAAATAAACAGATACTTCTCGCAGCTCCCAGTGTCATTTAATTGTTCTTATTATTTAAAAATGAACGAAGTGGTAGAAAAGATAGATCGGTCCGTTCACATCTGCATGGTTTTCGTCACAAATAAGTTTTCGGTTTCTATCCCGTTTGATTCGTAGAGAGTTGGTTGGTCCCCTTGCCCACTTCATTGACCCCTACAAAGTACCA